GCGGGGCGTGGGTCCATTGTAGCCTAAACGATGTGCAGGGACGCGGGCGATGTAAGGATGATTTATGACTTTGGACTCCGCATCCGATTCCTCCTCTTCCTCTTCCTCTTCCTCCACCTCTGGATTCTCTTCGGGATCCTCTTCGGGTTCCTTCTCCATTAGTTCCTCAGGATCCTCTTCTGGATCCTCTTCAATCCATCCACCATTTCCCTGGTTAGGGAAGTAGGGGTCTCCAGGTAGGTGAAATCCCGCCATGATGTCTGTGCGAGAATGGAGATGTGAGAAATATAAGAAAGACTTAAGTGTATGATTTTTTAGTATTCTAAAACACTCGTATAATATTTTAAATTTTTATGTTTGATTCTAAAGTTTTAGGGTTGGTAAGTTTTAGGTTTGTTATCCACTACAATCATTCCTAAACACATGTTAGTCATATCTCACATAAATATAGTTGATCAGGCTATATTCATCCAAGATATGATTACATAACTGTCTAGGCTTAATCGTAGTGTCTAACTCCTCTAAACACTTTTATATGATTCTTATTATAACAATGTTCCTAGTATGCATGCACGTATACTTTTTATGAAAATATTATTATATTTTTAAAAGTATACTTTTAGTCAGAGTGTTTTAGCCCCATTGTATTTATAGTTGTATATTTTATTTGGGTTGACATACTTGATTCACTATAAACAATGCTCTGATACCAATCTGTCACACCCCCGAACCGGAACGGCGGAAACGTCTGGGGGCGGATGACTTCATGTACAGTATCATAACAATTGAATATAAATGAAACATAGCATCACAACCATTATATTGAATGTTTAATAAGATTACATTGTGTTCAAATACTGTTTACATGACATCAGATGCATGTGACAAAAATGAAGGAAATAATGTGACGACGTTCCATCCTCCAAATTTCTCGTGATTACCTGCTACTGATTTCCTGAGAATACAAGTGATTTTGAAAAGTGTCAAAATTTAAGTTGGTGAGTTCATAAACATTTTCTATGAAAAGGGTTTGTAATGTTTCGTGAAAATGATAGTGTATACTTCCAGAAAATCCGATATTTTCTTAAAAATGAGTTGTAAGTCTTAAGTACCAAGACTAGAAATGTAAGTAATACTGCACTGTGAAATGATGTAATGAAGTTTTATCTTTATATAAAACTACTTGAAATGTATGTTACTCCGTAAATCAATTGTGTTGTTGATACTCTATGTGAGTTATTATAACCATACTAATACGACTAGTTGCCTGAACGATGTGCTTCGACGTCAGAACTGTTATGACATTTATCACCCCAGACCTGTCGGTCTAACTGTAGCTAACAGTTTAGGTGCGGGGTTGTCAATCCCATATAGATCTATACACAAGTGTCACGTTCTCCCTACAAGAGACTCTAGTTATAAATCAGGACATTAACGTATACTCTGGTGGGTATTGTGAAGCTAACTGTCTCACAAAGTTATATCAATCGATTTACGTGTACTGAAAACTCTTTTTGCTTGTAAATAAAATAATTATGTCTTTAAATAATCATTTAACTATTACAATTGATAATATAGTATTATGACTACCAACTATATCCATTATAGTTTATTCTGTTTGTTTGTTGAAACTTTTTATATAATATTTTATATAATAATAAAGTTGTCACATTGTGCCCAGCATATATAGTCAAACATAACACTTTTGAGTTGTGACCCACCAAAATTGTATAAAGACTACAAAATATACCTTTTTCTTAGAAAACTACCTTTTTATAGAAAAATACTAAAATCATGTAGTTTTCCAAACATAACCTTATTTTGACTATTATAATCATAAAATAAGTTTGTTCTTGTAGTTTTGCATTCATTAAACAAATATCATGAATATTTGTAAAATGGCTAGTGATTATGATATCTTGTGCATATAATGACATATATTTCGACATTTAAGCAAGATATGCAAATATTTGTATAATAAACAATTTTTAAACTTGTATCCCCCCCCCCCAAAAAAAAAACATAAAAATCTCGAAAAAAAAGTGGGGGTATGAACTCACCTTGAGTGGGTTTGTGAGTAGTTTGTAGTGGTGAGATGAAGATTTCGAGCCTAAGGTCTTATATGAAGTTAATGAACTTCTTTGGAGATGTGATTATCCTAAGGGTTTAACACATGATAATGTGTGTAAAGATGATGAAATTGACATGAAAATGTGTTAAAACACTTGAGGATTATGAAAATGCTTACCAAAATCCTTAGGACCAGCTTGAAAGTGATGATCTTAGAGAGTTTTGGCTTGTTTTTTAGAGGTTAAGATGAGTTAATTTGAAAGAAAGAGTTTTTGGTGGTGGTGGGGTGATCTTCGGCCGTGAGTTTAAATGGAGAGGGAGGAGGTGGTTTCATGGATACTTGGGGGTATTTGCATGCTTAGTATGGAGGTGTGGTGGTTAAATGGGTGTAAAGGTGAGGTGTTAAATCACTAGGTCAACACCTCGGATTACCCACTCAACCGAGATCCCCAATTCCGAGGCCAAGGTTTTCGGTTCTTAGAGGCCGAGAACTAAGGTTATCGATCCGAGGTGGTGGATGTTCTCGGTTGCAAGGCTTCTTGGCTTAAGGCTTCTCGGTCCAAACTTAAACACTTCGAATGCAAATTTGAGATTTCGAATTTCTTGATAAATCATGTTGCTATCAAGTGTTCATTATGAATATGATTTTCAAGGTATATATATATATATATATATATATATATGATTTTCAAATCATATATATATATATATATATATATATATATATATATATATATATATATACATGTTCTTATACAAGCATTGCCCTTTAAGGATCTATTGTAACAAGTTTTCATTGCGAATTCTCTTGTACATGGTTACATTTTAGACTTGATCTGTCTCATTTTGCTAGTTGTCACACCTTCAAAACCCACAAATATCTAAGGGTTTTAGCCCAAGTCAACCAAAATAAAGAGATTAGCCACTCATGGGAATAAGATAACAATCACAAAAGTATTTTTGCATCAAGAAACTAAAAATTACTAGAAGGATGAGAAGAATGTAGATCAAGCTCTCAACAATCACCTCCAAGGTGCTCCGATGGTGGAAAATCGAAGTGTGGCTGCCAAACCTAACCCCTCAAGGTAAATCATGAGCAAAATGACCAAAATACCCCAAAGTGTGTAGTTGCACGGGTACCCTTGCAAGTTTGCACGACCGAGACTCCACCCTCGCAAACGATGTTGGAATGTTATTAGATCTTTTTCTCCATTACTCCGCCCCTCCACTCAAGATTCCATTGGTCCCTTCCTCACCTCACATGATTTAAATTTGGCCAATCATGTTCAAGCTTCAAATGAATAGTCCAAGTCCATCTTTTTTAGTCATCTTCATAAGCCCACTTCATCCAAGTCTTCAACATTTTAAGCCTAATTCTTCTTTGAAGGATCCAAAAAGCCCAATAATGTCTCAAAAGCCCTCCAAGCCCATATCCAAGCCAAACCGCAACCACATCGAGACTCCCAAACCCTGCAAAATACCTCATGCAAAATAGAGAGTAGCCGACATGATCCATGATAAAGACAATAAAGAATATACAATGCAATACTAATAAAAAGGGCTAAAAGATCTAAAATAAACTATAAAAAAAGGAAATAAAATAAATTATCATCAATTTAGTAGTCAGACGTAGTCGTCACAGATCATTATCAGGAAACATAATCATGATTTCTAAGATTATAGTTGACCACTTATCTAAGGGCTGAAGTTGATTATATCAGAGTTTGGAAGATCATTAGATGATATTCTATTTGTTGATTACTAGAGAAGTATTGGTCCTCGTATAGTTGATGACTTGTCAAAGTGGGAGACTATTAGAAAGAGTGTCCAAGGTCATTAACTATTAGTGAAATCTTTAGTAATAGAAGGGTCCTCTTAGGTTGCTCTCAAGACACAAATTAAGTAAAATAAATAAAGGAGTAAATAATTTATTGATTATTAGTGTTTAATAATTAATCAGAAACTAATTGGAAAATAATTTGGGAATTAATTAACAATTTAATTAATTAAAGGGTTGAATATCAATTAATGAATAATTGATTAATTGGGAATATTCCAGAACCCTTATGGGAGATACGGTTGGGCGAAATCCCTATTGGATAAGAGGGAATTTCGAAATTGCTATTCCATCGCACATAGGTTGGAGTACAAAACCTAGGAAGGGATCTAATGTTATAAATAGGGCCTTAGGGATTTCATTCTTCCTTAGTCATTGGTTTCACAAATTCACCATCTTTTCCCTCCTTTCTAGTGGACAAACTCATCTTGAGTTTGACCCTATCCTAGTTATTTTGATTCTAATCTTTTAAGTTAATTGGGTGTGAACCAATAAATAGATTCTGGTTGTATCCTTTCATCCAAACAAGGTGGAATGCACAAGGTCTCAAACTCGAAGGTCTCTGGCTACTAAAGAGGTATGTAGTTCTTTTTTCTTGTTTATGTTTTCATATGGTAGTAGTAATTAGTATGAAACTTAGATCCTTAGGTCGCATGAACACATAAGATGTTGTTATGTTTTTGATGCCATGATCAATGTGTTCTGTTGCATAGAAAACCTAACACTCTTCACCTAAAGAGTTGACGACTCATTTTTTAAAATATTTTTTTTTCTTTTTTTTTATATCTATAAATACAACCCCGCATACGTGAAGCGGTAGCCTCACATGATTTGTGGTTATGACATGCATTCTATGGTTCTGCTGGTTCCTTGAATGACATAAATGTTCTTAACACGTCTACGATATTTAACGATATGTATAACGAGACTGTACCAGATTTTTCGTTTGTTGTGCATGAAACGTCTTACATTTACGGGTATTATCTTGTGGACAAGATCTATCCGGAGCGTTCATGTTTTTTGAAGTCATTGTCTTGTCCTAATGATCGAAAGAGTTTGAAGTTGAAGAGAGCTCAAGAGAAGGCGATGAAATATGTTGAACAAGCGTTTTGACGCTCTTAAAAAATGTTGGCATATACTGAAATACCTAACGTTTTTTGTCAAAGAGAAGAAAATGAGTGAGGTGATATATACTTGTATCATATCGTATAATATGATTCTTGAAGATGAAAGAAATATAATATGTAAGTATCACGAAAACGAGATCGTTCCACCGACACAAGCATTTGAGGTTAGCGACATGTACATGGCAAGAAGAGGAATAGTTCATAATGTTGAGATCCATCATGATCTTCGTAGAGACTTGAAGGAACATGTTTGGACCGTTGATCACATCGATTTTAACGCGGAACCGGTCGATGATTTAGAAGATCAATTTTCCGATGAAGATGTCCATTAGTTTGTAGTAGCTATGATAGTCTAAGGCTTTTTTTAAGTGTTTAAGTAGTGTTATGTTTATGCGTTTTTTTTTCGTTTTAAAATGTGTAAGGTTGCAAGACTTTAAGTTTTATTATTATTATTATTATTATTATTATTATTTTAATCTGTTGAACTTAAAAACATATTTAAAATAATGTTAAATTTATATTGATAAAAAGAGTGGCTATCCACCCCACCTAAATAGCAAGATGTTGAAGAGGTGTCACAAAAATGAGGTGACGCCTATATGGCAGCATTTTTAGTGTGGTAATGACATCTTCCATTTCAAATGATGTTTTATTTGTTAAATTTGTTAGGAAAATATAACCCAAAATTATACAAAAGAACAAAACCATAAAATTCTTGATTGAGGTCTGTGTTTAACACAGTTTCCTTAAAACAAATTCGCCCTATATGGGTGTTTGTTTCCCAGGATACAACAGCAGAAATCAATTCTTCTAGATTGTCCGAACCCTCAGTTGGCCCGGATTATACCTTGGTTGCAGCAGAGAGAAGAGATGAAGCAGAAGCGTAAGAGAGGAAGAGAGTGATTTCGTTTCATCCGGTGTATCAAATCAGTCACATAGGCATTGTATATATATACTACCCAATGTAACTGATGCAATTAAAACGAAATCGTAACTGTCACAATTAAATAAGAAAATTAATCAAGAAATCAAAACCGAAATCTATGATTAATTGCTCTTAATTCAGTTTTGTAATGGTTAACCAAAAGGAAAAAAATGCAAAAAAGGTCAGGTCCTTGAACTTTTCTGGTCGACCGGTGGTGCATTCATGCCCGGACATAAATTCAGTGGCTCAAAGCCAAATTAGCTCGCATTTGCACCCCCTACGTGCGCGCGCAAGAGAGAGTCTTGGTTCTAATAAGTCTTACAAATGTAGCTAGTCTTTGTAGTTATAAATCAATTTCCTTTTCATTCTCCCACCAATGTGGGATGAATTTTAAACCCACTTAACTCCTTTAATTTCTCTTCAAATTGCCCTACTTTGACAAATAATTTTTCATTCATTTTTAATCCGTTTTGGACGTGTGATATATCGAAACGTAGATATCACGGACGAGAACATGAATATATAATCAATAGCTCGTTTTGATTGTATTTAGAGTCCACAATTTGTGCTCAAAAATGGAGAAAATCCATTTTTGGAATTTAATTAAATTAATTTTCCAACAAAATTATATATGGGTTTATTCTTATACAAAAAATCCCAAGAGAATGAAACAAGCGATAGAATTCCACTTTAGGTAGTAACGAAATAAAACTTAGTTAAAGAAACAAGAAGATTTAATGATTAACAAAATAAAATTTACAATAGGTTAAACACGGGATTGTTATTTCTCCCCCATTGCTACTATACTCAAATCACATTAATGGGCTAGCGACACACAAACAAAACAATGTTGTAATGAGCATACTCTGGGTCTAGAACCGGAAACTGTTGCCAGAACTGAACCGAACCGAACCGGTATCTCTAATCCGATTCAGTTTTTGGTCTATATATTTTCAAGAAATCTTGGTTTTCGGTCCCTAATCCGATTCGGAGTGGGTCAGGAGAGGACGGGTCTGACCCATTGATCACCTCACTATCTTTAATGTAACTATCTTTAATGACATTTGTATTTTAGTAATAATTCAGTATTATATAATATGTAGTTGTCGTAAATAGGGAAATCTCCAGAAAATTTCTAAAATTTTACCCTAATTTACGAAAAAGTCTCAAACTAAATTTTGTTTACGAAAAAGCATGAATTACCGGTAAAATGGCGATTTGACCCCTTTTTCCCGGTTTACCGGTTTCATTACTTACCTGTTTCAATAAAGTCTCATTATTTTATCCTAATTTACGAATAAGTCCTAAACTAAAATTTAGTGATGATTTGGCCCTTTTCTTCATGTAATCATTAAATTAGCTGATAAGATGGATACGATGGGTTATATAATACTACATTTACTGTAAAATTTGATATCCATCTTATCGGCTAATTTATGACTATGTATCTAGGTCAGCAATGAAACCAATAAAATGTGTGTTTCCAGGAAAAAAGGACAGAAAATGAGTTGATGTCTCATGAGATGGATATGTTAGGTTACATAAGATTAGATAGGCAATTTGATATTTCCTATAAACGTAAAAAATAACGCAGTTGCTGCTAGTTTATTTAATTATTGCAGTATTTGTTGGATGCATTTTATGTTCCAAAAGAATATACAATAATGAGACTTAGACACCTAATCATTAAATTAGCTGATAAGATGGATACAATGGGTTATATAATACTACATTTACTGTAAATTTTGATATTCATCTTATCGGCTAATTTATGACTATGTATCTAGGTCAGCAATGAAACCAATAAAATGTGTGTTTCCAGGAAAAAAAAGACAGAAAATGAGTTGATGTCTCATGAGATGGATATGTTAGGTTACATAAGATTAGATAGGCAATTTGATATTTCTTATAAACGTAAAAAATAACGCAGTTGTTGCTAGTTTATTTAATTATTGCAGTTTTTGTTGGATGCATTTTATGTTCCAAAAGAATATATACAATACATCAGAATATCAAGTTTTATACTAAACATAACATTATAAAACTTAACATATCCATCTCATCATCTCATTTAATGACTAGGTGTTCGGGTTAGCAATGAAATGAGTAAAATGTATGTTACATAGAGAAAATGGTCAAATCATCACTAAATTTTAGTTTAGGACTTATTCGTAAATTATGATAAAATAATGAGACTTTATTGAAACAGGTAAGTAATGAAACCGGTAAACCGGGAAAAATGGGTCAAATCGCCATTTTTACCGGTAATTCATGCTTTTTCGTAAACAAAATTTAGTTTGAGACTTTTTCGTAAATTATGATAAAATTTTAGGAATTTTCTGGAGATTTCCCCCGTAAATATGGCCTAAAATTTCTCTCTTATATGGTTTTGTATATATCGTTTAAACAATATATGAAATCACCAAGCATTTCATCCCCTTTAAATTAGTGAACAAAACCTATGTTTGCATAATTTCATTCACTCCTAAACAAATCTTTAATGTAACTGTCTTTAATGACATTTTCTATTTTAGTAATAATTCAGTATTATGTAATAATATGTAGTTGCCGTAAATATGGCCTAAAATTTCTCTCTTATATGGTTTTGTATATATCATTTAAACAATATATGAAATCACCAAGCATTTCATCCCCTTTAAATTAGTGAACAAAACCTATGTTTGCGTAATTTCATTCACTCGTAAGCAAATCCCTCTCATCTCTCCCTCCTCGAGATGAACAATTCATCGCATTCAATATCTCCCAAGAAGGCTCGAGTCCATGGTCCGGAACATCAACAAATCAACCACTCTATTTTCACTTCCAACAAATCTAAGCTTAATGGTAAGGCTTACAAATTACTTTTAGCAATTAACTACATATGTCTTTTCGTAGGTTCAGTGGCTTCTTCACTCCTCTTGAAATTTTACTTCAACCACAAAGGATCCAGCCGATGGGTCTCTACTTGGGTCCAATCAGTAGGATTTCCTCTTCTTCTCCTTCCGATATACCTTCCATATTATCTCCACCATTTTCTGCCTAAAAATGGTCAAATTTTGAATAGACGAAAACCCTTTTCAAGTTTCGATATGAAACTTTTGGGATTATCATTCGGGATAGGGTTAATGTTGATGATTAGTAACCTTTGCTTTTCTTGGGGTAATTCATATCTTCCTCTTTCTACTTCGTCTCTAGTGTTGTCTTCTCAACTCGTGTTTATTCTTCTTCTTTCGGTCATTATTGTGAAGCAAAAGATCACATTTTTAAACCTTAATTGTGTCATTCTTCTAACGCTGAGTTGTGTGCTCTTGGCACTAAGTTCTAAAGCCGATCGGCCCGAAGGATTGACAACTACCAAATACCTCCTGGGTTTCTTCTCCACCGTTTGCGCAGGGTTGTTGTTCGCGCTCTACCTTCCACTCATGGAAAAGATTTACAGTAAGGTGGATTGTTATGCAATGGTGATGGAAATGCAGTTCGTAATGGAGGCAACAGCTACTGCTGTTGCCACATTAGCAATGGCGTTGGCTGGAGGTTTTAAAGAGATGAGACATGAAAGCATAACCGTGTTTGATCTAGGACCCACCAAGTATTGGGTGATGATATGTTTCAACGTGGTGACGTGGCAGCTGAGTTTTATGGGTGCAGCCGGGATGGTGTTTCTAACCACTTCTTTAACCGGAGGGATATGCATGACGGCGTTGATGGCAATGAATGTAGTAGGAGGGGTGGTGGTGTATGGCGATGATTTCAAGGGCCAAAAGGTGGTGTCGACGTTGTTGTGTTTATGGGGATTCTGTTCGTATGTGTACGGGATGTATTTGAGGATGACGCAAGACACGAAAGAAAACAACAGTAGAAGCGGTGAAGATACCCCACCACTGGGTCTACAACAGGAACAAAAGAAGTCGTTGTTGGAGTTATCTGAGATTGTAACGGAAGATCACCACTAAAACATGGTAGGTTTATTTGTAATAAAAGGAAAATATTAATACTTCGTTTTTATCTTATTAAATGCACACACATTATATATATATATATATATATATATATATATATATATATATATATATCCGGTAAGAAATTTTTTTTTGGTAGGAAGGTAAAAAGTTTTTTTTCTACATATATTTTTGACGAACAAAATAAATGAATCACTAGATGATTCATTTGTAACATGATTCACAAGAAAAAATTCTCAAAAAAACATCTTTATGATTCATTTTTAAGTAAATTAAGAAAAAATTCACTTTTATGACAATTTTAGTGAATAACAACAAAATCATTGTATAAATGAATCATCGAGATGTTTTTTTGAGAATTTTTTCTTGTGAATCATCTTACAAATGAATCATCTAATGATTCATTAAGTTTGTTCGCGGAAAAAATATGTACAAAAAAAACTTCTTACCTTCCTACCAAAAAATATATTCTAATAAATGAATAGTTTTAATCTCATTTTGCCAAGTGTCATCCTAATACAACTACTCATTAATATTATGCTATTAGTCATGTAGATATATATTAAACAACTCATTTCAAAATTCAAATTTAAATTTTCTAATTATATGTTAAATTTGAAGTTATAACAACTTTAAAATTTTGATATATCACTTAATTAATAATTTATTTAAAATAACTTATTTAAAATAATTGACTAAAAGTTATAAATTTTTATTATAAAAGTTTAATTAATTTTATAACCGTGGTTCCCACGGGTTATAAACTAGTATATATATATATATCTATATATATATCTATATATATATATATATATATATATATATATATATATAGAGGTTGGGATCATATATGAATCATAAGTATTGTGTGACTGTATGACCAAATCTTGACTACTAGATTAAAAAAATAAAGGGTTGTGATTTTAAGGTACATGTTATTAACATAGACTAGCATGTATTCTATAATTAGACTTAATTACTTAATTAATTGTAACGGCAAAAATTAAATTTTATAAAGAGAGAGAATTGATTTGTTTACATTTTAGGAAACTAAATAAAATTAATTAATAAAAATTAAACCAAATATAGTATCTTATTCGATAAATTTAAAATAAATCCAATTTTTTTAGAATACAACTTCATTCGACAAATATGAAGTTGTATTTTGATTCTTTCATTCTTAAAGAATTTTGATTCTTTCATTTTTTAAGAATACGATTACATTTAGTAGTTTTTTATTCATTCATTCTTAAAGAATATTATTTGTGGAGAAGTAATATTCTTAAAAAATAAATCTCATACATTAGACAATAACATATCATTTTTTTCAGAAAAATATATTGAAATATAATGAAGAATATATACTATAAAAAAAGAATTATTTTTAAAACAAAAAACATTCTTGAAGTATATGTCTTTGTTTTTTGATATACAACATTTCAAAAAATACACACAACCTTCTATGCTACATTCTTTAAGAATTTGTCATCATTTTTGAAGAATATACAAAAAATATATATGTATCTAATACATTCTTGAAGAATTTTTCATTATTCTTGAAGAATATGTCTTTGTTTTTTTATGGCATTCATATGTCTTTTATCTTTACCTTTTCATGTATTTATATTTGGGTTGCACTAAAGTCCGTACATATTGGTATAATAATCGATTTAGTCTCTATATATTTTTTTTATTCAATTAAGTCTCAAATACTGGTAATCGTATTCAATTTAACCCTTTGACCCGGTCAACAGGTCATCCAACTTTCAAAAATTACATTTTTGGCCCAGATTTCAAAATTTATTACATATTTGGTCCAAAATTTACACTTTTGGCCATGATTTTAAATTTTGTTACAAGTTTGGTCCAAACTTAACCCTTTTTGCCCAAATTTTATAATTTTATTATGAATTCATCCTAGCTTGAATTTTTTTACAACTTTTTTTCTCAAAAATTTGTTTCTAATATGTTTTTTCTTTATAAAATCATATTTATACAAAAAAAGAAACGTATTTTCACATAAAAATCTTATATTTTCTATATAAAAAAAATTTTTAAAAAGTTTTTTGTATATGAAATATCTAGTTATAAAAATATGTATTTATTAAGTATATAAATATATACAAATCCGTTTTTAAAAAAAAATGTATGCAAAAAAGTATTTTACAAACAAAATGTATACAAACACCTATCACCTTTATATATATATATATATCTATATATATATATTATATATATATATATATATATATATATATATATATTATATATATATATATATCTATATTTTTTTTATAAAATCGTGTTTGCTTATATTTTTTTATATAAAAACGTGTTTGAATAATTTTTTATATAATACGTGTTTGTATACGTTTTACAAAATCGTGTTTGTATATATTTTATAAAAACGTTTTTGAATAATTTTTTATATAATACGTGTTTGTATATATTTTATAAAATCATGTTTGTATATATTTTATAAAATGTATACAAACACGTATTATATAAAAAACTATTCAAACACGTTTTTATAAAAAAATATAAACAAACACGATTTTATAAAAAAAATATAGATAAAATAGGTTTGTTTGTGTACATTTTTTTTTGTAAAATACGGTTTTGAATACATTTTTTTATAAAAAAGGATTTGTATATATTTATATACTTAATAAATACCTATTTTTATAACTAGATATTTCATATACAAAAAACTTTTTTCAAAAAGTTTTTATATAGAAAATATAAGATTTTTATGTGAAAATACATTTTTTTTGTATAAATATGATTTTATAAAGAAAAAACATATTAGAAACAATTCTTTGAGAAAAAAAGTTGTAAAAAACTAAAGTTAGGATGAATTCATAATAAAATTCTAAAATTTGGGCAAAAAGGGTAAGTTTGGACCAAATTTTAAACAAAATTTAAAATCTGGGCCAAAAGTGTAAATTTTGGACCAAATTTGTAATAAAATTTGAAATCTGGGCCAAAAATGTAATTTTTGAAAGTTGGATGACCTGTTGACCGGGTCAAATGGTTAAATTGAATACGATTACTTTGAGACTTAATTGAATAAAAAAAATATATAAGGACTAAATCGATTATGAAGCCAATACGTAGGGACTTTGTTGCAGTTTTCCCTTTATATTCTTTTCAATCGTCTAGTTAATACTTGATGTTCTAAAAGGAACTTTGTCATTTTGTTTTGTTTTGTTATCAAATATTTGATGTTCTTACAAAAAAAACTTTAACTTTATTATATCATATCTAAATAAAAATGAAAATTAAGAATTATACAAAGCCGAAAAGTGATAATTAATTAACTTTCATAAATATTAAAAATAATTTGTTAATCATATTTAAAAAAAAAACTAACACTTTATTATGTGTAGACTAAAAGGAACATTTTCTCATTACACGTGTCTATCTATTTCTTTGATATATTCTTAAAAAAAGAAACTTACTCAAAATAAATTAAACCCCTATAGCCCTATTTTTTCATCAAATCCATGGAAAAACCATATAATAAACAAGAGTATTTAAAATAATTCCTTTACCAACATAGTGCACCTGTCTTGAAACATTTAAAACATAATAACAAGAATCAAAACCGGAATCAACAAAAGTTACCTGGCATTCTATTTTCAACGATTCAAATACCAAAAATCAGCAACAGTCAAAACCTCGAAGCAAACCAGAAAACAAAAATTCAGAAACACAATGTTTTTCAAAAATCTCCAAGTCGAAATGTTTTTTGGAAATCTGATTAAGAAATTGCCAAGTCGGAATAAGAAATCTGCAAGTACATTTAAAAACTATGTTGAGGTGAGAACACTTTCAAGAAAGAAAAAGCAAAACTTAAAATACAATAAATCAACTTGTAAAATGCATTCTTCCTCACATAATTTTTCAGTAAGTGTGAAGTCAAGTGAATCCTCCATCTGAGCGCAAGCCAGACATGCAAGTTCCCTAAACTTCATAAGATGTGGTTATTCTTGTAAACCCTAATTTTAGAAGAAAAAAAGATGAAGAAGAAGATGTCTAATGAATGCGGATTTTATGAGCGAGAAAAGCATAACCCTAATTTCCTATTGATGAGTAATTACCTTAAAGAATCAGTCCCATTTGGTAGAAATTAGAATTGTATGTGGCTGCCGAAGTGAGAAGAACATCATCATCTTCACTTCGGATCACCATCACCGCCATCAACGACAACTTCGCTGCACCAGAACCGAACCACCTGAAGCAACATATCTTCGATGATGCCCTCTTTATTTGCAAATGTCTTCCCTTTTTATCGTTCCTCTTTTTTGATTTCTATTCACGGTCGAACATGCCACATAAGTGTGTTTCTGTGTGTGATTTTCCCTTGATAGGAGTACACATTGCATTCACTTACATGATTTGGCGAAAAAGGTTGCGTGTGTGTGATTTTCCCTTGATAGGAGTACACATTGCATTCACTTACATGATTTGGCGAAGAAGGTTGCGTAGTATTCTAAGTGGATGTCTTACTTCTATACAGGATGCTAATTAAGGTTATTTATTTAAATAAAGTTACAATTTGACTAATTTACCATTTTTAAATGATTGGTCTAGAATTAGCCATACACTCACACAATACTTATATTTTATATATGAACCTAATTCTCTCTCTCTCTCTCTCTCTCTCTCTCTATATATATATATATATATATATATATATATATATATATATATGCTTAGGTTATTCTATTTAAACTAATTATTGTGTTATTGTATGCATAAATATGGACCAATCATTTTACTTATTTTAAGAAAGTGATTAATACATATTATTAAATTAAAGATAATTGAAAAATACCATCTAATTTCATTCTAAGGGTATTTTAGACAATTGAGATAAATTTAAAAAAGGAAAATTCCATATTTTTTGGGATAATTAACTCTCTTGATGTTAAAATTCTAATTTTTTTTAATTACTTTAATTTTAATTATAACGTAATTTTTATAATTAA